GCCGGTGGGCAGGGGGCTTGACCCCAATATTATAACCATTTGTTTATGGCTACACTTTGTCTCTAATGCTGCTGGTTTGTGACGTGCTTGTTGGGCTTTGTGCGTTGTGGGTTTAGGAATGGATTTGGAAGTGGACGGAGCACCGGGTTGACAGTTAATATAGTTGAAGGGTTAAGTGAGAACGCCTGTGGTGCTATAGGTTGAGGCCCCACGGAATTGTACATTACAGCAGATACATGAGCACTCCGCAAATGTATTGCTTGGCACTTCTAAACAATTAAGAAGGTGTCAAGTGTACGAACGGGGCTCGCAAGGTCATGAACGAGTCCTCTTGCAGGGTCGGGTGCAGCTTAGGGATGGGCTCGTAACCTTTGAACAGTATCATCCTCAAGTATAAGCTATAAGTTCCATTCAAGCAGGCAGTTCTGCATGGAGGTGAAGCAGAGTTGCTAATGGGACGCACATTTTCCAGGTGTGGTTCCCATGGTACAGTAGGCCTTGCGGCATATTGGCGAGGGAATTCTAATCTGTCTTTGCCTTTTTTTTGTCTGACTTTTGAAGAATTTCAGGGAGATATATCATTTCAATCCGAAGAGGTGATAATAGCTCAGAATTCTTGGAAGCTTATCCTGTTACCGGACGACGCCAGGAACTCTGATTTGACAATCTTTCAGATGTTGATGGCATCAGAGTGTGGCTAGATCCCGAGCATTATAGCGAGTTGTTGAGGCTGGGTGAGAATGCATCATAGGCCATATGAGAAATGGAACGTGAACCGACCTGCAATAACCAATGATTGGACCAGAATGTACATTCTCCGATATGCAAGCCATCGAATATGGGTGGATGACTGCATAGAGCTGCTGTCAAAAACTGGACAAATACGAGGTCGGCTCGAACGGGAAGAATTGAGGCTCCTCATGTGAGATATCACTGTTGATCTTTCAAAGAAATACCGGTTTTTGCTGCAAGTGTGTGTGGGCCTGGACAGCCGTTGGAAATCTTGCATCATGAATCGAACATGTGCCTCAGGATCACCGTCTAAAATCCTGAGAGGTTTCTTGTCACGGCCATGTTGGGGACCCTGCTGGAGGAGGTGCAAAAAATAACTCGATGCTGTCAGAGAGAAAAAAAAAGAGAGAGGTCGGATGAAGTGGTCGGGCACAGGTTGATGTTGGGTCTCACAAAAGTTGTTCTGGCGTTGCATTAACGGAAAGCTTGGACCACAGGCTGTGGGGAAGCGATGGTGGTAGTGGTGTGGCTTGGTGGCTGGGGAAGTGGCTGAGATTAGATTATCGTCAAGAGAGGCTGGTGGGGGTGTGGATCCCTTTTTCGTACTCCATCTTTCTGGCAGCCTTCTGGAACTTGCAGCTTTCTCCAGTTACCTAAACACCCGACTCTCAACTTACACATGTGTGATGTTTCAACGGGTTACCTATTTCGAGCTACTTTGCACCTCACCATAGAACGGCACGTGAAGCAGCCAGCACATATTTCAACCTAACCATGCTGTGGTGTGACTCCAGCATCTTCGTGAAACTTTTATCACCAGGTCGCCGGAACCGTCACCCTCGAGGGGCAAGGGAAACAGTTGAAAGGTAGGGTGGTCCCCGTCTATCTCCCTTCTTCCCGTGGCCGACTCTACTGTGCCAGGCCGGTCGTCGCTATTTGGCCGCCAAGGATCGTATCATCTTCGCTGGCACCTGTTGACAATGGCCGACCTTGAGATAAGCAGAGGTGGACTGACTTCGTCAACCACCACCCGCAATATCTGTCTCTCGTTCTGACCACGGAATTGGTCCGACGAACACGCCTCTTCGCTTGGGGGCTCGAGATACGACATGGGGACTCACCTTGCATATGCACCCAGGAAGCCCAGCCAATTGCTAGCAAGTTGGAGACACGATGCAGTGGAAACTTCGAGTCGACGAGTCTTGTCCTTGATTTTGTTGTTCTGATATGCAGCATTCGGACATCTCGCAACTACCATCTGACAAAGCAGCAGCAAACATGGCACAAGTGAGCCCTCCCGAGGGCATACAACCTGGACACAAGCAACTCGGATCCGACTTGCACAAAGGCGGGATGTGCTCTGTGACAGCTCTTAGGTCTTAGTCCATCTAGGTCCAGCCCCACCCATGTGCGATCGGGATCTGTTTACTGGGGTTGACCCCACAGTCCAATGGCGTGCCGTTGTCGCCCCAGTGCCGGTAAACCGAGCCAGCGTCCGTGGTCCAGCTGGTTGGTTTCCCGGGTATGACGCCATGAACACCTCTGACCCCTCGGCACGAAAAGGGTCGATAGTGAGGGGAGGAGGTTTGGTCGCATTAATATCGCACGAGCCGTGAATTACGTGTGGGAGAGCGAGCCGTTCCCACGTCAACTTGTCGAACCTGCAGATCGAGGAGCTGCCCGCACTAGCCTCTCTCAACACGAACAGAGAAGCGGCCGTGGCGGCATGCATCCTCTGGAGAAGCAGGTTCATGACAGACAAGCACACGCCTGATCTACAAGCATTCGGCCGGGCAACAAATCAGCCAGCGAGCGGTCGGCCACGACAAGTACTGTACCTGCACCACAGGACGGTTAACAGTCAACGAGGGCAACAGGTCCGTTCCTCCCTCTGCCCTGATCCGCTCGGTGCGCGGTCGAATGCCCCGCACTCTGTGCCATCAGAACCGGCTGCCCATCGCCAGCTTTTCCCGTCCATCACCGCCCTTCCAGCATGGACGAGATGCAGGGCCCTACACTACAGACTGGGCATGCAAGAGCTTGTGCTGCAGACAGCCACCCTAGACACGATTTCTGACAACAAAAGCTGAAGGGCACATAAACAGCGTCAATAGCTCCAAGACAGAATGTGTTGTTTCCCAGATTAGACGCAAGCTTCGCCCGAATCGGTCAACTGTCGGCCCGGTCGACAGCGAGGTCTGGTCATGGCCGGAAACACGTCAAGGCAGGGCCAAGAAGACCAAGAAGAGCGCCAAGTCTCGACGCAGGGGCTTGGCGAGCTACCGTCATCGCCCCGAGGGGAAACGATGTCATTGGCAGGGGTCGAGATCGTCCCAAGAAATCCACAGACAACAGACGGTCAGGGGTCAGCCGCAACCCCTGCCATCACTTGGTGGAGTCCCGTTACCCCCCCCCAACGTCAACCGCCTTGACGGCCACTTCCAGACTTACACCACCCGCTACCACGCTAAGCCGAGCACAGCAGAGCACAGCACCCTCGCTTCTGTTTCTCACGCAAAGAGTTGGGCCTCGTTGGTGACCCAGACCCTAAAAGGACGATAACATTATGAATAAGCACAGATGGCAAAGCTGTGGGAATCCCAATGGCTGTAAGCTGCCGTGCCGCTGCAGCTCTGTCTTCTGAAACAAGCACAAGTGCAGCTTTCTTCTTTTCTCCCTATGCTTGCCTGAGGGCTCTACGGGCACCCATTGTGGCCGCCTCTATCCGTTGGTTGCTCGAGTCAGCCGAAATCGGTTTTTTTTTTCTCGCGATTACTTACTTGTATGCTCTTCCTAGGTGGTGCGCAGAGGAGGGGGGGGTGGTTGGCACAGACACAAGCACTGCACATGCAGCGCAAGCACCTACATACATGCGACTCTGCTATGTACTTGGGTACAATGTGTCAAGAATCTTGCTGCTAGCCTCCTCCTGGACTGAGCGGTCTCTTCCTGCATGACCCAGTAAGTGGCCTTACTGGCCAACCAGAGCTGTGGTGGGTGGTGCTCGCTCAGGTACTTCGACTTCAGTATTCCAACTAGGGCGGAAGTGCGGGCATCTGCCCAACCTCACAGTTCCCGGGAGGAGAGGCTCCATCCATTTGTCCAGTTTTGCGACCTTCCAAGTCTCCACTCTCCATCCTCCATGGCCGGCACCACGCAGTCCAGTGGGCTTGTCTCAAGCGTCTTTGTTGGACAGCAGCAGGATGTCATGGCATCTCCGCCGTCCCTCGCTCCCATGCTACCACCTCAACCGGGGTGTTGCCCTCGTTGTGTATAAACATCCTGCCTCCCGGTTTCCCTCGTGCTTCCTTCTCTACCTCCATCACCAGCCTCCTCGCAGTCACTCGTGATACCAACCGGCTATTTCTTAGGTTCTTTCTCCCTGCCATCAAGTAACTCGTTCGCTAAGGTTACTTATAAGACCCTCGTTGCTTCCGTCTTCTACGACCTTCGCTACAAGCCAGTCAGTCGCTGTTGATATCCCCACTCACTCAGTCAACATGAGAGCAGCTCTTTCCCTCCTCGCCCTCGCGGCCACCACCCTTGGCGCCAACATCCCCCGCGGTAAGAAGTGGGAGACCGTGGTCACCGAGGTTGTCGTAACCTACACTACCGTCTGCCCCGTCACCGAGACCTACACCAAGCCTGGTCACACATACACCACCACCTACACCACCACCAGCACCGTCAAGACCGTCAAGCCCACAACAATTGTGGTTACCGAGACTGGCCCTGCCGTGACCAAGACTGCCGATGAGGTCGTCTACACCACCCTCACTTCCCTCTGCCCTGTCACTGAGACCACTGTCGTCGATGGCTCTACTGTCGAGGTGACCTGGACCTCCACTTCCACCATCATCAAGGTTGCTCCCACCGAGGTTGTTGTTACCCAGACTGCTCCTCCAGTGACCAAGACCAACGCTGCTGTCGTTGTTACCACCCTCACTGAGCTCTGCCCTGTCACCGAGACCACTGTTGTCGATGGCTCCACCATCGAGATCACCTGGACCTCGACTTCGACCATTGTCACCAAGGTTGCCCAGACCGAGACTGTCTACACCACGTCCCTGGTCACCGAGTATGAGACTACTGATGTCTACGAGACTGTCACCTGCCCCGAGACCACCTACACCACTGTCATCGAGGGTGAGACTGTCAAGGTCACCAAGACCAACACGTAAGCTGCCCACTCCGTTCTTTTGTTTATGCCCGACTCTAACATATTGCACAGTATCACCAAGGCTGTCACCGATGTTCACTACGTGACTGAGATCATCCCGGTCACCATCACGGAGCAGGTCGATTACATTGCGACTGTTCCCGTCACTGACCGCAAGACTGTCACCGGTTACTCCACCGTTGTCGTCTCGGCCAGCAACATCATCTACACCTCGGAGCCCCTGCCTCCTACCACCATCATCATCCCCACCTCGGTCACCGCTGCCCCCATCCCTACCACCACTCCCAACAACGGCACCGCCCCCATTCAGACTGCCGGTGCCAACGCCAACAAGAAGGCCCCTGCCGCGGCCTTCATTGCTGGTCTCTTTGGTGCTCTTGCCATGCTCTGAGCTTTCGGCAACTGGGATTTTCTGTTTTCGGCTTGACATTCTTATCGATCCTTTGATTGAGGAGCTGTTCGGTTCTTTTCTTCACTTCACAATGGTTTCCAAGCGAAGCACCTTTTTGCTCGACTCAGCTCACCGGGGCTGTTGATTTCTTCCATTTTTGAGATACCACTTGCGCGAACAGCGAAGAGAACATACCGGATACACTGGACACACCACACCACATAGGCGCATACAGGGCGCACCACGCACACATATACGGAGCACATTCTGCCTAGGAGGTACACATGGGATCGGATCGGATCGGACATACGACACACTGCACTTCACTGCGCGGAAAAGGGGTCGGCTTATCGGAGTTCTTTTGGCTTTTTTGACTTATCTACCATTCGATGCGGTGTGGTGCAAACAGACGCAAACGCAGGGCCAAGGCGAAGCTGATACCCCTAGACCCGGATCTTCTTTTTTACAAAAAGGAAAAGGTTTGGGGGCGTGATAGCTTGGAAAGGGGGGGAGGGGGAGGGGGATGATTGGTCGGCCGGATCAGGAGTGGTGGGAGTGATTGGGTGGCAACACACACATTTTTAATACCTAACTTCTTCGTGTACATAGCCTACTTCAGGGTAGGCATAGGGACTTAACAAATAGATTGGGGAATATTCACACTACTATTGTGACGACTTTCTTTGCTGGTGATTCCATCATGGACCAATCCACCATAGACTCTTCATAAGACATGAGGATTCAAAGCTTTTCTGCGTGTCGATGCCGATTGGCTGGTCCCGATCAGTTGCCCTCCCTTCAAGGTGGTCTGTTTCGTTTCATCCCTTGGCTATGCGTTTTTCCCATCTGCAAGACATCGCAGCCCAAGGGCGGAGAGAAAAGGAAAGCTTTTGAACCTGCATACGGCAGAGCAAGCCCCCTCCCTCCCTTTCGATCACAAACAACCTGGGCCTTGCCGTAGCCTCAAAAGAGCCGGCATGCACCATTGCATTATGGCTGGCCGAAATGTCTACAGGCTGAACTATGTTCGTGGACTTTGGCTTCGAATTCTGTTACCCAACATATGATTGCAGTTCGTGCTCCTTGCCAGAGGGTGCTATCACCGTAGCCACCAACAATGCCGTCATAATCAGAGCTCTGCTGTTATTGCTGGATATCCTAACGCGGTGGGAGAGGAAAGATGCGCTCGACCACGACCAGGTACCGAAGGCATGAGTTTGGAGATTAGTATACAGTCACCAAGTGATTCCCAACACTGGTTTCAGCACCTATTTTCTCTGCGGGAATGTCATCCCTACAATCCGTTTCCCCCAGGGAAGCGGCTCAAGAAACGATTTGGCGACTGGTTCGGTTTTGTCGACAGCCAGTTTTCCATCAAGCATAACACTGATGAGACACATTGCATTCGTAACGGTGCGCTGAGATACTCGGATTGTCCTGATGGGGCGACACTACGGCTGTGTGGAAACTTGTTAGACCTCAATTACAGGATTGCTCCCCGTCATGGAACCCGTCGCAAACGCAAGACATTCCCAAGGGTCGAGATCGTGACTGGCCTCGCTTTTCGGCGGCAGTGTCACCGAAAGCTATCTCCGAATGTCGTCAGTAAAGTCATCACAGAAAGTTTTGTCTGTTTGGAGGACATGCGGAGTGAGTTCAAGCTTTCGTTAACGTCATTATCTTCCAATTATCAAAAAGGTATGTTGTGTTGTATCAAATCATTCCAGCCTTTTTTCTTTTGTCTTCTCACATTGGGCAGGGCCACTCTCGGGCTTATCTTGGGGATCTTCTTCTTCTTCTTCTTCTTCTTCTTCTTCTTTTACATTAATTATACATGTGAAAAGGCCGAAACTAATCCGGTGTTATTTTCAGAGCTCAAAAGGCTTGTTAAGACTGGTTTCCCGAGTATGCTTAGGCGGCTAAGTATATTCAAAGACTTTGGCCGACGACATGAAAGTTTCACAAGGCCACCAAGATTAGCCCTGGGCCGCGTCCTCGACAAAGCAAGCCGCGAACTTGAAGTTCTGGCCGGTCCTTGATATATAGAAGCGGAGGCTTTCTTTGAAAAGCCCCCTAAACTTCGGTATGGACCAGAACTGTCCCCTCAGTGGCCCAATCTCCGTCGCCTCGCGCTGACCACAGCCGAACTTCATCCCGAGAAACTCAATAGCACAATGAACAGGTCACTTGAACTACCCATGCAAGCGGTCAGCTGGATGCCAAAGTTGGAGATAATGGAGATTGGGAATAGCGGGGAGTGGACCGAAGAAAAGGGACATGCCTGTATTTTTCGCTACACCTTCAACGAGAGGGATGGACCGATGGTAACGTGGTCTAGCACTTGGCCAGCCGAAAAGGACCTCGTGCTGAGCCCGGATTTGATTCAAAAGTGGCAGGTTATAACGTCGCATACCGGCCACCAGCTTAAAGTTGAGAGAAAGCCTTTGGTCGGTGTAGGACTGGATTGGCCCTACCAACTATCGTGCCTCCATGTGGCTGTGGTCCCCTGGCTTCTTCTCAAGAAGGACATTCTAAGCGGATTGTCCAGATTTCAGCTCATCAACGAGTTACACTCACGCTTTCGGGATAGGGAATTGTGTTGGAAACCCAAATTCGGGGGTTTTTGGCACTTTCATCTGTTGATGGAAGTACTATTACTGTAAAGTAAGCTGAATTAACTGTGAAAGATAGCCAACATACCTTAAAAGATAGTCAAAATATTGTAAAAGACAGTCAAGATCCCCCAAAAGATAGTCAAGACCCCTTGAAAGATAGTTAAAACTCCTTAAAAACAATTAAACGCCCTTGAAAAATAATAATTACACTTTTAAAGATAGTTGATGGGCCTGTTTATCTATCATCTTGAAAGGCATAATTTAACGGGTATTATACATTTGCTGACTTGCAGGACCGATTATTCGTGGGCTAGGGGCGCCATTGCACAAACATCAATCCAGAACCGCATGCCCACGAACCACGCAGCCCCTTCCTTCTGTAACATGAAAAAAACAACCCGAGAGAAGATTCCATGAAAAGCAACCAAGAACAAACCCCAAACACCACCCCCCGCCAGTCACAGAAAGACATACCCTCCCTGTATTCTCCCCCCTTGCCCCTCCACTAAACACCCCTCAGTTATCTTTAAAAACCCTTCCATCTATGTTGCCAAGACCTTAAACTATCTTTCAAAGCTTGCAAAATTTGGGTAAAATATTCTTTCAATTAGGAAGGCATTTACCACCATCGATTTCCCGCAGGTAAGCATCACCAGACTTCAAAGATTAGAGCATAATCAAAACTAAACAAAAACCTAATTCATGGCCCAAGGCCCAATCCAACCAACCTCCAACTACCTATAAAACCCCTCTCAAAAAACAACCAAAAAGAAACCAGGTCCTAAAAACAAAAAACAAAAAAAAAAAAACCACCCCAATCACCCCAGCAACCCCCCATCACCCCCTTTTTTTTAAAAAAAAAAAACAAAAAAAACCCCAAAAAAAACCCAAACAAAAATCCAACTACAAAACCACCTTCCCCAGCTACCCCGCCCTCAAATAAAAAGAAGAAAAAAAGAATCATTCCCCTTCTTTGTTGTGAGCCTCCGAGCCACAGTTGGGAGGATCACACTAGGTCTGGGACCCTCACTACCCATAGTTTAAAAGGCCTTGCCTTGGGGACGCTTCTTAGGGCCTCCTTATTTTTCATTCACTTTATACCTTAGTTTATATTGTTTCTTTTACATTGTATTATTCATTCCGTCTATATTTTCCTTCATTTCTACGGCAGCAGAGTATGCCCGGTGACCCTCCCAGCTACTTTTCCTATAGTGAAACCAGCTCTTTCGAGTTACTCCGCATCCTCCTCCGCCAGAGACTCTCCCAGAGAAGCCTCACCCTCGTGCGCCTCCGGTGTCTACGCCGCGAGCCACTTCCAGGACCCCCCTACCGGAAGGTCACAACATTTTTCTTCATCATCCCTCCTCCACCACTTCCTCTTCATGGTCTGCTCCGGGCCGAAATAGAAAGGCCCTTGCTGGGCAGTGAGCGTGATAACTATAAATAACCCCCCAAAGTTATCTTTATCTAATAGCTCGAAAAAAAAGGGAGAGAATGAAAGAAAGAGAACCAGAAAGAAGGAAAAAAGAGAAAAAAAAAGAATAAAAAAAGAGAAAAAAACACAGGAAAGGGAGTTACAAGGGACGCCAGTGCTGACAACTGGCGGCTGGGGGGAGGTAGGGT